AACAGCATTTTACTGTAAAATTACATGAAATGTCTGGTTAGATATTTTACAGTTTTTCCCTGTATATAGTATGGGAACTTACTGTTAACCTATTAACAGTTTTTTTCCGTAGCATTTTTACAAAATGTTACAGTTAAAATTACACTTATTTTTTACAGTGTAAGACATTTTGTCGTAAAGTGGCCATTGTAAGATTCTAGAACATCCTGTGCTCTTCTCTGTACCTCCTAAGGATGTGACCATTGCGTAATGGTCATAAGACATGTTGTTTTGCTTATGCTGAGCAAAACAACTGAGCTGACAGTTTCACTTTCTATATTATCCATATACAGTATATTGTACATCTAAACCTGTGTGCCATGATTGAACTGCACTCCTTGTGTCTGTGTGATTCTTGGCTCCAGGGTATACCTGTATCTTTTCTGTGCTACATCGCTCAACCAGAACAGATCTTTTTGAAATACTTGATCTCCAAATTCTTAATTCTAACAGCCCTGTTTTTATACTTTACTTGAAGTCAAGTGTATATAAGTCACGAGGATGATACTGGATATGATTGTTTGATCTCTGACTTGTGTACATATAAAACACAATTTAAATATGGGAACTTGGGGTAAGATGAGCCTGTCTAGAAATACAATATAATGTTAACTAAATATTTACTGTAAGTAGATTTTAAGGACACGGAGAAAAAAAATGAATTAGTGCAAATTATAAATTATAGTCCTTTTTTTTTTATATAAACTTTTTTTTAGAAATATCCAGTGCTTTCTTTTCTAATGGTTTCATGTAGCAAGAAAGACCGACAAAGTGTCTTGAACATGACTACAACACACTACTAACCACTAATGCATCTCAATCAGGCCTTTTTGCGAATGCCTTGGGCAGTAATTATTTACATTTAAATTTACATATATTCATTTAGCAGATGCTTTTATTCAAAGCGACTTACAATGCATAATGAACAGTGAGTTTGCTCTGCCTGCTACAGTACTTCCTCTTTGCTTTCATCTTCAGTGTTTCTGACCCCTGTTAATGGCTGCAGTTGGTTTATTTGCCCAGTTAAATAATAAGTTGTGTGTTATAGTTCTAGAAGTTCTCTAACCATTAGTTAGAAGTGTATGCAGACAGAGATCTCCTCTCAATCCACAACGTTGTCTACATTGCTTAGCCACAAATGTCAAAATTCATACCATTTGTGTAATTCAAACCGGCTTACCGTTTGAACTGGTATATCGCCCAGCACTACTGCTGACGCAGTTTTGTTGGGCCTGATTGCTAAGAGCAATGAAATGATCAAATACTAGCAAGAATGCAGGGTGAGGACTTGGTTCTAACCATTGGCTGTTCATTAGATTTTGAGATGTGAGCTTGCAGTCAATTGTTCGAGGGGCAGGTTTTAAGCAGACTAAAATATTAGAGACAGAGAAGTCTGGAATATGTCTCCAGGGTGAAATCTGTCACCTTCAGCAGAAGATCGAGTTTAGATTGAACATTACGACAAAAAAAAAAAAAAAAGAAAGAAAAAAGACAAACATATTCATGGATGAATTCGCAATAAGATCCATAAAATACCAAATATACCGTGAGAATTTACATTTTCATGCAAACTTTAGTTACTTTGCAGTAAAACAGAAAAAAAAAACTTTGAAAAACACTCAAAGTGAAGAAAAAACTCAATTATAAATGCAAATAAAACCAGCTCAGTTGAAATGAAATCATTTCAGATTATCTCAAACTATTTCAAAGACTATGCCACTAAATTCATATGCTCCTGACTTATCTGGAAAAGAGGGATCAGCATGACAATCTGAGTGAAAGGTCTTGTCAGCTCAGGGACATTGTGATGTCTTTTGTGATACTTAAACCCTCCACCAACATATATATAAAGCCAATAGACACCTAAATAGATGCTTTTACATCTCCAGAAAAAGTTACACTTATATTCTTATATATATATATATATATATATATATATATTACTTATATATATTACTTATATATATTAATCTTAATTATATACACTTGTTATTTTTTATTTTATTTTATTTTGCTATTTTTGGAGGCTTGCCTTAAAGCCATTAAAATTTTAGCCATGGTCCGTGGGCATGACATCTAAGTCTGAGACTACCAGAGACTTAATATAACAAAATGAACTCCAAGAGTGTTGTAGAGAAACAAATAATTAGGGGAATAACTGAAAACAGCGAAACATTCACTTTATGAACTCAATAAGTATTATCAAAAACTGGGTTGATATGGTAACATTATTCCAGTGTAGTAACTGAGTACATGTAATCTGGATTACATAATCAGATTCTAAAAATTAAGTACTTGTAATTAGACTAAATTACATTTTAAAATATAGCCGCAAGCGGCGATCATCGGGTCCAAGCATGGCCCATTGAGCAATTGATGTTGAAAACACATCAAAATTGACATTAAAAAAACAGGTCAAATACGCAAATCCAACTGATGTCAAAAACTTGAAATGATGTTGATTTGATGTAAATTGAACGTCAAACATATTGGCCCACATTTACATTAAACCAATTTCAGTGTGGGATTAACTTCCTATTTTCACCCAATTACCAAGAAATTGCTGTCCAAACTGAATTTAAAATTATGTTCCTGCATTGTCATCAATGACTTATATTTATTTATTACAAATATTTGTTTTTGACGTTATTTAAATAGGACAGAGTAACAACAGGAAGTGAGAGAGGGGGCGAGATCAGGAAAGGTCCACAAGCTTGGATTCAAACTCAGGACGCCCATAACTCAATGGTGTTTTATGTAGGCACCGAGCGGCAACCTCCCGCTCTCTCTCTCTTGAAGCCAACAAGGAAGTGACTTAAACTGTAATTCATCAACTGGCCGCTAGAGGCTGGCTGCAAAAGGGAGTCAATCCCATAGACTCCTCATGTTAAAATGCCCAACTTTACAGCAGAAAAAAACATGTTTATAGCCCGGTTCAAACAATTATTTTGGTCTATATAGCTAATTTTGCCCTTCATGACAACTGTGAGGGGGGTGCATTTTTTTTTATAACTCATCCGTTTAAATTATATTAAGCCTTAAAATTCTGCATAATTAAGGGCGTGGCCACTTGAGTGACAGGTGGATTGCCGCTGCTGTC